GTATCTTTGGAGGTTCTAGAACCAATCACCTGTGGATACCAAGGGATGATTATACATACCACATTTTCCTTATTCATTCGTCTGCCAACAGATACTTAGTTTGAGTCCATATCTTGGCTATTGTGAATAATACCACAGAAAACATGAGAATACAGACATCTCTTTGGGATACTGATTTTATTTCTGTTGGACACATAGATGACTGACCTTCAGCTTACTAGGTTAAGTCAACTCCTTGACTTAAGATTCCTAACATCTTGGCCAGGCCTGGTGGCTTACACCTGTAATGACAGCACCTGAGAGGCTCGGGTAGGAGGATCACAGTTGGGCAAAATCATCTGGCAACACAAGTGCACTGTAGTTCCAGAAGTGGAATTGCTGGATCATATGGTAATTCTATTTTTAATTTTTTTCCTTTTAGAAATGGGGTCTTGGTATACAGCCTAGGCTGATCTTGAACTCTTGAGCTCAAAGCCATCCTTTCTCCTCAGCCTCCCCAGGACCTGGGATTAGAGGCATGCAGCTGTCCAGTCTAGTTTTTATTTTTTAAATAAATTTCTACACTGTTTTCCATAATGGCTAGCTCAGTTTACGTTCCTATCAGCAATGTGTAAGGATTCCCTTTTCACCACATTCTTCCCAATACTTGCTGTGTTTTGGCTTTTGGTAATAGCCATCCTAACAGATATGAGGTGATAGATCAGGATGGTTTTGATTTGTACTTCCCTGAGGATTAGTGATGTTGAATATCTTTTTATATTTCTGTTAACCATTTCTATGTCTCTTGGAAAATTGCCTATTCAAATTCTTTGCCTTTTTGGGGTGGGGGGGTCAGTCTCACTCTGTCATCCAGGCTTCAGTGGTATGCTCACAGCTCACCTCAGCCTTGACCTCCTGGACTTAAGTAATCCTTCTGCCCCAGCCTCCCCAGTAGTAACTGAGACTACACGCACGTACTGCCATACCTGGCTAATATTTAAATTTTTTTGTAGAGAAGAGTTCTCACTATGTTGCTCAGGCTGGTCTCAAACTCCTAGGCTCAAGCTATCCTCCCTCCTCGGTCTCCCAAAGTGCTGGATTACATGCATGAGTCACCACACCCGGCAAATTCTTCCATCTTTATATTACATTATGTCATGTGAATTTTTGCATGCTTATTTTGAAATGTCTTCATTAGCAAATAGAGGAAGACTACCTCTCAGTGCCTTTAAGTAAGAAAGAAAAAGTTGAAATTGCATGTCAATCATCTTAGATGTAAGAGAGGGAAGTACCTCATCTTACGTAAAACAATGACTAAACCACTTTTTAAGGCATTTAACTTTAAACATACCTCTTTTTGTCTGATGTTTTGCAACTCCTTGAAAATAAACTTGTTGAAACACTCTTCTGACTGATACCTGTCTCTTTCTGAAGTTTTCATGTACTGTCTTACTAAGTAAACTTATTCATCAATTTGGGACTTGGCAAAGAAATGAGAGTCTTTTTTAATCTTTGACTAAAAATTCCCTGAAGCTACTTTTAGGAGTTTTGTACTTTTTCAAATTTGCCTATTCCATACATATATATACATTTTTGATGGATTCTATTTCTTCCTCCTTTTTTTTTTTTTGAGTCAGAGTCTCACTGTCACCCAGGCTGGAATACAGTGACTGCAACCTCGACCTGCTGGGCTCAGGTGATCCTTCCGCCTCAGTCTTCCAAGTAGCTGGAACCACAGGTGTGCACCACCACCACCCAGCTAATTTTTTGATTTATTGTGGAGATGAGGTCTTGCCAAGTTGCCCAGGCTCATCTCGAACCCCTGGGCTCAGGTCATCTGCTCACCTCAAGCATGAGCCACTGCGCCTGGCCTATTCTTTTTCACAGTAAAAATTTTATTCTTTGTTTTCAAAATGAAAATAGCTTTTTTTCTGATTCTAAAAGTACCTTTATTTCTGATTCCATGTATGATAATACCTACAATCATTTAATGTTTCTGATTGATCTCAGTGCTTAAGGAGACTCCCGAATTCTTTTCTGTATTATGGGAGAACTACTTCTAAGCCATTTTAGACGATTTTTGGATAGCTTTTTGTTGTAGTTGCTGTCTTACAATACTTTAGAAGTAGGAGATTGTACAACTATTTTTACACCATTTTGTTTGTACTTTTAAGGAAGATTTTAAAAAAACCTGTTAGAGGCTGGGCTCAGTGGCTCATGCCTATAGTCCCGGAACTTTGGGAGGCCGAGGTGAGAGGATTGCCTGAGGGGCAGAACTTTGGGAGGCCGGGTTTGAGACTAGCCTGGGCAACTTGGTGAGACCTCATCTCTACAGTAAATTAAAATATTAGCTGGACATGGTGGTGTGTGCCTGTACTTCTAGCAACTTGGAAGGCTGAGGCAGAAGGATCGTCTGAGCCCAGTGGGTTGACGCTGGAGTGGCTGTGAGTATGCCAATGCGCTCCAGCCTGGGTGAAAGAGTGAGACTCCAACTAAAAAAAAAAAACAACCAAGAAAAAACCTGTTAGATACAAAGCCTTAAAAGCATATTTCCTTTGTTTTGGTAAAAAATAATTAGTGGTATATTAATATCTTGGACCCTATTAGCCCTTTATGTTCTTGAAAATTCTAATTAAGATATCTGTTTGGAAGGCTGAGGTGGAAGGATCATCAGAGCCCAGTAGGTTGACTCTGGGGTGGCTGTGAGTATGCCACTGCATTCCAGCCTGGGTGACAGAGTGAGACTCCCACTCAAATAAATAAATAAAAGATATCCGTCAATCTTACTGTCTAACCCACTTTAAAAAATGAATTCACTTTTCCAGTCTATTTTTTATTCAGTTTGCCTTTATTCAACACAGGTGGGGAGAATAAATGTTTTTGTGGAGTGTAGCAAAATTAGTCTGCCTGAATACAGTACAAAAACACATGATCTTATTCATAATTAATATAACCATACCTATTGTGATCTGAAGAGCATATTGAAGCCAGAAGTAAAATGTTCTGTACTCAGGATGCCTTTATTTAAGGAATAAACAAAACTCTTATCTGTTTCTCTGTGTTTTAACCTGTAAAATGTGGACTTTATTTTACTTTTTTACTATTTTTTATGTCATGCAAGAACGCTCTGCTTTATTTATTCATTTAATTTTAAAGATGTGGGGTACAATTAGGATCAGGTATACAAGTGGTCATCGTAAAGGCAATTTAAGATAATTTAATAAAAAATGCTTATAGAGATATTGTAAATATGTTTATACTAATTATAATAGTCTTCTTAGTAATATTCCCAATCCTGATTTTTATTTATAACTTTCTTAAAGGCAGAGCTGTGTATTATTTAAGTATTGAATATCTTCACAACAAATGGAAAGTTAAGAATACATAGAATAATATATAGTCATAGGATACATACAAGAGGAAAGCACTTTTGGTAGCCTTTATTTATTATTTTTGATTTGGAGTCTCACTCTGTTACCCAGGCTGGAGTGCAGTGGCACACTCATGGCCACCACATCCTTGATCTGCTGGGCTCAGGTGATCCTTTTGTCTCAGCCTTCCAAGTACCTGGACCCACAGGCAGATGCCACTATGCCCGGCTAATTATTTGATTTATTGTAGAGATGAGGTTTTGCCAAGTTGCCCAGGCTGGTCTCGAACCCCTGGACTCAGGCAATTCTCTTGCCTTGGCCTCCCAAGGTGCTGAGATTACAGGAGTGAGCCACTGTGCCTGGAGGCCTTTTTTAAAAAAAATTATTTTAAAATCTATTTTATTGGAATTTTGAGTAATTAATACTTATAAGGTTCAAAATTCAAAAGGATACACAATAGTCTTCCCCTCATTCCTGTGGCCCAGCTGTTAAGTGTTTCTTTCCCAAGCAAAGTTACATCCAATTGTATTCTTGTTAGGACTGTGTGTCGGGTGGGGTGGGAATGGCAAAGAATTGCATAGATATTAGATTAGAAAAGATAGTTTGAATAAAAAAATAAAAGTAGATCAGAGAGAGAGGGTGGATTCACCTCTCCAAGACTGGAGAGAGTGCCAGAGGCTTAAAGAAAGCATAGCGGAGAATGCTAGAGTCTTGAAGGCTTTTAAAGTTTCTTTTGGGAGCCCCTGGGGCGCAGGCGGCATTCACAAGAGTTGACGTCATGGTGATGGGGTCTGTTTCTCGTATTTCTGACAACCAGATAGATGGGTGGGTCAGTCTTGAGCACAGAGACAAAGGTGGGCGGTAACTGGATGAGGGGTCAGTCACATAGATGAGAAGGGCAGGGCCAGTAGCTGAAAGACAAATTCTTAGGACAAAGATGTTAATCTTAATGTCTTGTGACTTGCTGTGTATAAGCTCAAGGAGACCAGAGAAACTAAACTCCATTTTGGGCTCTGTACTTTCAATTCTACTGATACCTAACAGCCCTGCCTACCGGCCGCCCCCCGCCAAACCTAATGTTGAAGGACTTGAAGCTTGTAAAGACCTTATTAAAAGTGCCGTATTATTTGGAAGCAGAGATAGGACCAGAATCTACGAGTCCTGACATTTTAGTTCAGGACTCTGCAATCTTTGCAATCAGCCACACCGACTCTTTAAAGTGGCGAGTTGGCAACTGTTTAATCAGTGTGGATAGATGATCCAATCCGGTAATTTAAATTTCCACTGATTTTCAGATTGGGACAACCAGAAGGTGAATGGCTTATCAGAAGAGCAGTAGGGGACGAGATTTTTGGTTCATCGAAAGGAGGCAAGGACTTTAAAAGGCTGACCTAGACGGCTGAATCAGTTTGACTTTTGCTGAGCCCTGGAGAAGGCGCGTGCCAGGCCCGTAGTGCTGACGTCAGCGTGGATCCCAGCCTGGCCTGGGGGTGGGGAAGGCACAGTGCTCGAGTTCAGACCTCAGGCCACCTGCCCCTGTGACAATTCGACCCCGACTCTGCGGGTTGGCCTCGGCCCCACCCACCCCGATCTCAGGCTGGGCACGGTGCAGAGGGGATGAGGCCTCGCCCTCGCCTCCTTAGCCGGTCCAGTAAGTCGAGTGAGTGTAATGCAGGGAAGGGACGCGTCGGCGCCAGCGACAGGCCCGCCCAGGGGCAGCCCGCCAGCCAGATCTGGGGCTACTTTGGCCCAAGAGCCAGAGTGCATCCGGCCGACCAGCCCTGGCCTCTGTGTCCCGCGCCCTCCAGGCCCCACGGCCTCCGCTCCTGGGGGCACAGGCGCCCGCAGCCAATCCGCTCTGCCAGCCTGCCTCCTCCCCTGCCAAGAGCAGCTTCTTCAGGCGCGCTCTAGTTCCCCAGATGCTCGCCCCACCCTGCCCTTCCCTCCCCTCCCATGGAAGACCGATCACGCGGCCCAAGAACGAGACTCTCCAACTGGGCATTTCTCCGAGCCCCGCTCCAGCAAGAAGCGAGAAGCAGCGTGAGAGTGGGAAGGAGATTGGACGGGCAGCTCTGTGACCCAATGGTTTTCCTCGGCCTTTGGGTGCGGGCCAATGAGGCGCTTGAGGGCGGGACTTCCGCTTCGCCGTGGATTTGTCGTCCCTGCTCCGACTCCGGGCGGTGGGGTCGGTGCGGATACTCAGTCATGAAGTCAGGGTAGGGACTTCTCCCGAAGCGACGCGGCCGGTGAGCGTGTCAGTGTTCCGGGGGCCAGGCTTCCAGGTAAGAGCCTGTCCCGGGCCGTGGCGGCCGGGCGGCTCGGAGAACACACCCCCCTTGCTGGCTCTCGAGCTCCGAGTCGGCCCAGCTGCTGAAGTGTCTGCTGCTCTGGCCGCGCTGGGCGCGGAGTGCATTAGGCTTTTTGCAAGAGGAGTAAAAAAGCCCTGGCCCCGGGGGACCGGGTCTCCCCTGCACCCCCATCCTGCGAGTTTGTATGTATCTAAAGTTGTTGGATTATCTGTTTTGCTTTTCTTATTCCCTTCCCGAGGAGGCAGGAGCCTGGACAGATGTTTGGAAGGCTTGGCTTGGTCAAGGACTTGCCGCAAAGTCCTCGGGCGAAGTCGCTCGACTTTAGTTGTTGGGTCTGTTTTTGGTCGTTGTAGGAAAAGAGGGCAGTCACTTCCTCTCTTACTTGCCCTCACCCCCCTTTCCTTTCCCTGGAAGCTGAGATTGCAGGATGCGACGTGACCCCGATAGGACCAGATACCACGTATCTGCCCTCCTAAAAGTCAGTTCTGTCTGGAGGCTTATTGAGATGACCCGCACTGATTAAAAATCTGTCCCTGAGAGAGAGAGGGAGAATGAGTGGGCAGACACCGAAGCCAAGCGGTAGTATCCCTGAAACACGCAACTTCGGTGGCAGCCACGGAGTGTTCTCTGCCAGCTGTGGGTAAATTCGTCTATTTTGACCTAATCTGGCAATAGTAAATTTCCAAAACGGTCGTTTCATCCTCGGTTTCAGCACCGTGGGCAGCTGCTCAGGCCCTCTGTGGTTGCCCCTAACGTGCCCCGGCTGTTATTCGTCAGTGATGCCGCAGGAACAGTGAAAACTAATGCATTCCTTTCGACAATGATGTGTTGTTCTCCAAGGAGAACTGCAGTTTTTGATACAATATAAATAAGGTGGATATGCCTCCAAAGAGTTCTTGTAGAGGAACAGACCAATTCAAGATTTAAGGTAGGACTTTTAAGGGTTTAATCCATTTAAGTACCAATTGTAATGGGCTGGGGAGATGAACTCCATCTCAAAGTAACAGAACTGGACAGTTCAAAAGAACTTTAAACAGGAGCTAAGAAGTCTAGAGCAGTGCTGTAGTGCAGGGCCTATAGGGACTCTAATGGGTTGTGAAATCAGTTTAGTATATTGACATAAGCATGAGAAAGAAAAAGAAAAAAAAATCAGATGACATCGTATGGAGTAAGAGTATTGTTGCAAGAAGCTTTTTGTTTCAGTTTTTAAAAATATGTGTGGGTCAAGAGGAAGATGGAAATATAAATAATATTGTGGATTATGGCAAAAACAAATGTTTCAAAATGCTTGGTCCCAAATTTGAGACTTGGATTGACTTCAGCTCTGCCTTTTACTAATTCTGTGGCATTATTCATAAATAGAGAAAGAGCCGCTTTGAGGAGTAAATGAAATAATCTTTGTTACATAGTTAAACCTCAGAGTTTTAATTTTTTGTGTACAGAGAAGCACAGTTATTTTTCTCTGTGTAGGGATTGACTACTGTTTTATTAATATATTTATTTAACCTCTGCCTTTGTTTGAAGCCAGCTAACTTGATGTGCTCCCTTTTTGTGTAATATAAATCATGTGGGCATAATCTTGGTTTGAGAGGTTTAATATTAGAGGATTTGGGTAAATTCTCATTCACGTTTAAAGCTCATTTCTCTCAAGAATTTTGGAGGAGCCTAAAATGTTGCTAGCTTTCAGCTCCCTTTAAACAATATTTTTCTGCATCCCAGAGTAACGAATTTGTTAGAAGTTTTTCAGTCACTAGTTTTAGCAAAGTGAGGGTAGGAGTTTGACTATGGGGATGGCTTTCTGCCTTTGAGTTAAGTTGGATAGGAAGGCATTTTATGTTTCATAGTTTTTGCCTTAAGAGATGCATGAAGTGAAATGGCTTGGCCAAATATCATGGTATGCTTTGCTTACTTCGTGTGACCTAAACATGGTTGGTATTTAAATAAAAAGTATGATTTTGGACATTTTAAAATCTGGAAATTAATAACATTTAGTAGAAGGCAAACAAGTTTGACTCAAGATGGTGTTTTGCATCATTTGGCATGTTATGACCATATGGCATTGTCTATGATAGTTTCACACGACTTCAAAAGGGGAAGAAAGTTGGTAAGCATTGTTAGTTTTCTCAAAAGAGGAAACAGAATTAGTAGACAAGTGGATTCCTTTTAATAAAGCATGGTGATGAATCATTGTTTAAAAATTCATCCTGCTGCAGATAATTATTGAGTACATTTAAAATATGGTATTCAGCTTTGATGAAGTTTTTATACTACACAAAAGTTGTTTTAGAAACAATGAGAGCATATTATTGGTATTGTCAAGAGCATATAAACAACAACAGAACAGTAATATAGCTAACATTGGTTACTTTGGGCCAAACACAGATCTAAGCACTTTATATTATCTCATTTAATTTTCACAGTCATTGATGTGTTAGATAGTACAATTATTCTCTTTTTATAAGTGGAGAAACTAAAGCATCACAGATATATATCTTGCTGAGTTCATACAGGTAGTGAAGTAGGTGGAGTTTGAACCCAGGTATTCTGGCTATATAAAGCCTGTTCCTCTTGTGTCATATTTCATTAAAAAATACAGAATAATGTGGGGCTATTTTTGATTCTTACTTGGTGGTGACCTTGGGTAAGCTCCTCCTCAGTTTCCTTAACTCCTTCCTCATTGTGTTTTTGTAGGGATTAGGATAATTTGTGAAGCACTAGACAGTATGTGCTCAATAAACGATATGCCTCAGCCTTTTTCCTTTTTCATTGAGGATGTGGTCATTTGAAAGAGTGTTAGCAGGAGGAGGGAGGAAGAAAAAAGCTAGTTTAACACAAGGACACTACCAAGCAAAGGCATAGAGATAGGAGAAGCAGAGTACATTTGCTAGGGATGTATGTATGTTTAAGGAACAGGCTGGTAAAGATAGATGTATACTGATTATGGAGATTTCTTTCTTTCTTATTTTTTTTTTTGAGTTGGAGTCTCACTCTGTCACCCAGGCTGGAGTGCAGTGGCACATTCACAGCCATCGCAGCCTTGACCTGGGCTCAGGCAATCCTTCACCTCAGCCTTCCAAGTAGCTGGAGCCATAGGCATGTGCCATCATGCCCGGTTAATTTTTTTTTTTTTGATTGTATAGATGAGGTCTTGCCAAGTTGCCCATACTGGAGTCTAACCCTTGGGCTCAGGCAGTCTTTTCATCTCAGGCTCCCAAAGTGCTGGAATTATAGGCATGAATCACCACGCCTGGCCTTATGGAGATTCCTAAATGCCAGATTGAGGATTTTGTAGATGATTTTTTAAAGAAGAACCCCTCTCTTCATGGATATTAACCTGGGAACAGATCCAGAAGGTCAGAAGGTAGGAAACCTCTGGAAGCCTAGAGGTAGGAATACCATGGAGTTTGTTTACAGTAATTGAGGCCAGAAGTGATGATTGTAATGAAGAGTATAGATTTGAAAAATGTTGACATTGACATTGGGAACTGATGTTGCATAAAGATAGGCCTAAGACACAGTTTTGGAAGGATAGTTTTGCTGTTAATAGAATTGTGGATATTGTCATGAAGGATGGGTTTTGGTAGAAGGGGATTTAGGAGGAGAGAGGATAATAGTTTAGTTCTGGAACTGAGGAGTTGTTCAGACATTTGGAAATGTAAAATGAAAACTGGAAGCTCTCTAAATTCTATAAAAAGAGAAGACACCAAATGTTCATGTTGTGAGGAAATGGCCTAAAGCAATTATTCCTCTGTGGGTCAGAGTTTCATAGGGGTGATATGGCTTCTGAAATTTCTCAGAAGTGCAAATTTCTCACTTACTGGCGATGTACCCATTATTTCCCCCTGTAACATACTTTGATTTGTTTCCTGGGATATCAGGGAGTAAGGTAGTGGGGAGGAAAAATTTTGTAAACCTAGCAAGCCTCCCATTTATTATTTCAGAAGACAGCCAGTAAATTGGAAGCTAGGGATTCTCACACTAAGAATTTTAAGAGAATCTGTGATTTTTGTATAGTGCCAGGCTTTTATAAACATATTGAGTTATTGTTGCATCTCCAGATTTGTTATTTTTGTTACTCCCTCTTTGTTACCGTGAATTAATAGTAAAACATTTAAAATCAGAGAGCCTATATGCTTGTTTATTGGGGGACAGCAATGAAAGGTGGGAGTGCAGTTGGAGAGATTATATTTTAGTTATATCCAAGATTGTGGGAGAAGAGTCTGAAAAGATAAGAAGGAAAGACTGCATGCTGCGATGGGAAGATTAGATTCTGTGAATAAATCCGTGTATTGCCCATTCTCTTGGCTTGTTTTTCCTGTTTTGTAAAATGATGTAGATGGTAATACCAACTCAGAGTTGTTTTGAAAATTTGAGTTAATATATGAAAAGTGCCTGTTACATGGTAGATAGTAATTGAGATGTATTTGCTATTATCTTCATAGCTGAGGGCAAGCACACACATCCCAGGATCCATTGTAAGAAAGAAAGAAAAACATCCAAAGATGCTTTTTACTTCAAGAAAGGCACAGGGCTAAGTAGTGGGGATTGTAGGTTTGCTTTGCAGATTTTATAGAGTTTGGTAAAATCGGGTAGGGCATGGAGTTAAATTAAAGAGTAGACTATATCCATCTCTGAACTATTTTTTGTTCTTTGTCATGCAAGTTCTGAGTTACTGGCCAGTGAAACAAGAAAATTTTGTTGTTTGAGCATGAGGAGAACAAGCTTTACATATTCTGTGATACCACTGTGGAAACATTACTACTTTGCTCCTGCTACTTACAGGTTTTTCTAGAGCATTCATTTACTCAACAAGTATTTATTAAGTATGTTCTATGCCAGGCTCTGTTCTAAAGCGAAAAATCCTTCCTTCGTTGAGCTTATCTTAGAGTGGGAGAAATAAGGTGTATTTATATAATATAGAAAGTAATTTGATTTTTCTTTTTTTTTTGAGTTGGGGTCATGACTCACTGCGGCCTTGACCTCCTGGGTTCAGGCGATCCTTCTGCTTTCAGCTTCCTGAAAAGCTGGGACTACAGGTGTGCACCACCATACCAAGCCAATTTTTTGCTGTTTTGTAGAGATGAGGTCTCACTATGTTGCCCAGGCTGGTCTCGAACTCCTGGGCTCAAGCAATCCTTCCACCTTGTCCTTCCAAAATGTTGGAATTAGCAGGTATGAGCCACTGCACCCAGCCAGTTTTTCTGTGTATTTATATATATTTAAGCAGATAGTAATAATGAGTACTATACCAGATTGTAACTAATTCTATAGTAGAGTATTTTGAAGAAAGGGACCATTATCTTTTTTTTTTTATACAAGGTCTTGCCAAGTTGCCCAGGCTGGTCTTGAACCCCTGGGCTCAGGTAGTCCTCTTGCTTCTGCCTCCCAAAGTGCAGGGATTAGAGGTGTGAGCCACATATACAATGAAACCATGTCTTTCTTACTTATGTTTGTCTCTCCCTGTTTCCCTCCTCTCAGTGGAATGACTTAGATGTATTTAGTGCTCAGCAAATGTAGGTACTCATTAAATGTTTATGACAAGGAGAAGGTGATTGTGTTAAGGCAGGGACTAGATATTAAAGATAAAGGAGTCAGTTCAATGCAGCAAGTGTTGAGGACCCATGCACTCACTAGATTGAGGGTGGGGGAAAAGAGAAGGATACTGTGAATTGCATTGCCTGGCCTGCCTGTGAGGTTGGAATGGAAATAAAATTATGTTGTAGCTGAAAGCATCAACATTAAGGGAATCTGGGTGTTACTCAGCTTGCCCACTAGTCAGCTGTGACTTTGCATAAATAACTTCACTTTTTTGTTCATTTCCTCATCTGTAAATGAGGTAGTTGAAATTCTCCAATTAAAATCTGCTTTTTAAGACTTCTTATAAAATATCTATTGCAGTAGCTTTCACTTTACTAATGCAGATAATGTGGGGATGATCATGGGCTCCTAGTGAATAACATCAAACTAAATTTATACTCTTAATGAACTAGATGTTTAAAAGAGGTGTCTGTAAAATTAGTATGTTGATGCTATTTACTAATAAGACTGCATTGTAATCTTTAAAAATAAAGCAAAATATAGCCCAATAGATAGTTTCTCCTTTGCTACTATGTAAAGGAAAATTAAGTCATAGTATTTTAGACCTTAATAATGAAACATAATAGTTATTCACACTTTCATACATTAATTTATACAACAGTCGTTTGCCTCTGATTATTTAACTAGATGCTAGGTAGTATGTACAGGATCAGAAAACATATAGTCAACTTTAAGGAACTTGAAGAATAATGGGAGTGATGAACAATATAGCTTTGCCACATTCTGGTGGCATAGAGAGCACAGTGAGAAGCTGGGAGAAGAGGGAGTTTTTATGGTTAGAGAGAAGGCTGTGAAGAAATGCAGGGAAACAGCCAGGAGCCAGTTTATGAAGGACTTCTGTGCCAAGTCACAATTTGGTTCTGAACTTTATTCTGAAAGCGGTTTACTCCATTAAGGAATTTTTATTTGGGGAGTAACATGATCAGGCATTTTTATATGTATCTTTCTATTCCTCTTAAGGTGATCAATGAGGAAGATATTTGTTACTTTTGGTTATTTTAATGATGTAGACCTTCTTGAGGAAATCAGTCTTTTGATTCTGAAATAAAGTCTGAGAAACATTGTTAATTTTGTGGTTTTAGGATATAAATAATAATGAAATATTCAGATATTAAAACATTTAAGTGTTCCTTGCTATATTAATATATGTTGAAAAGAAAGTTGAAATTTTGGGGTAGTTTGTTCATTGATATGAGAATTTCTGGTCAGCTGCAAGAATTTTGTTTAGAATCATTTCTAAGGATTAAACATTTGTTGAATGTGACTATAGCTCAGACTCAGTTTCTAATGATGGAAATATCCAGATAAACTGTGTACAGAGAATTACTTTCCACTGGGAAGTAATCCCAGTGAGGAGCTGGTGATAGATGAATATTTCTGAATGAAGTAATGAGAAAGAAACATCCACTTTACTTAGATATAAAACGCCTCATTAAATGATACTTTATTTGCCTAATTACTGTGCATGTAATTTACATGTTTGACCTTCAAAAAGTAAGAACTGCTTGAAACTTACACATTTATTCAACATGAATTATAGATGTCAGTTGCTTTTTTTTTTTTTTTTGAAAAAATTGTCAGGTAAAATTCACATAACATTAGTTAACCATTCCAAAGCAAACAGTTCAGTCTAGTTGCAAAACATTTTTAGCTCGGAGTTAGAGGCGAGAGGATTGCCTGAGCCCATGGATTCAAGATCAGCCTGGGCAACTTGGCAAGACCCTGTGTCTACAATAAATCAAAAAATTATCTGGGCATAGTGGTGCATGCCTATAGTTCCAGCTACTTGGAAGCGAAAGGATTGCCTGAGCCCAGCAGGTCCAGGCTGCAGTAACTGTGAGCATGCCACTGCACTCCAGCCTGGATGACAGAGTAAGACTCCGACTCAAAAAATATAAATAAAAATAAAACAAGATAGATTGTTAAAAAACAAACAAGCAAACAAAAAAACCCCAAAAAACCAAAACATTTTTATCACTTCAGAGTAAAAGCTTGTACCTAATTAAGCAGTTACTTCTCATTCCCTGATGCCTCTAGCCCCTGACAACCACCAGTCTGCTTTCTGTTTCTATGAATTTCCTTATTCTGAATATTTTATGTAAATGGAATCATTCAATATGTAACTTTTCATCCCTGACTTGTTTCACTTACCAAAATGTTTTCAATGTTCACCCATGTTGTAGCATGTATCCGTACAGCTTTCCTTTTTACAACTGAAGAATATTCCATTGTGTATATGTTCTAGTCTGTTTATCCATTCACTCATTGCCAGATATTTGGACTATTTTCACCTTTTGGCTATTGTGACTAGTGTGCTGTGCTGTGAGCAGTCATTTCCAAGGACTTGTTTAAGTACCTGTCTTCACTTCTTTGGATATATACCAAGAGGGGAATTTCTGGATCTTATGGTAATCCTGTTTAGCCTTTTAAGGACCTGCCAAACTGCTTTCCACAATAGTTAAACTATTTTGCATTCCCACTGGCAATGTGTCAGAGTTCTAATTTCTCCAGTCTTTGCCAACACTTCTTTTCTTTTTTTTCTTTTTCTTTTTTTTTTGAGTCAGAGTCTCACTCTGTCCCCCAGTGCTCACGGCCACTGCAGCCTCGACCTGCTGGGCTCTAGCGATCCTTCCACCTTAGCCTTCCAAGTATCTGGATCTACAAGGCGTGCTCTACCACGCCCGGCTTATTTTTTGATTTATTGTAGAGATGAGGTCTCGCCATGTTGCCCAGGCGGGTCTCGAACTCTTGACCTCAGGCAATCCTCTCCCCGCCTATCCTGACTTGTTGTGAATCTTTAAGTAATTAAATAAATGCAAATTTATACAATACTGAGTGATCTGGAAAGGCTGGGTTTTCATGACAAAGACTTCCATTTGAATCCTAACTGTTATTTAAAAGATAAGTGTTACTCAGCCACGCTTCTTAAAAATAAGAGAAAATATTTATAAAGTACTTGGTGTGTGTTAGGCAGTTATAAACACTTTATCTTATTGCTCAAAGTCTCATTTTCCTATATTTCTGGAAAGATAGTGGAACCTACTTCATAGTGTTGTGAGGATTAAAAGAAATAGTGGGCTGGGTGTGATAGCTTACTCCTGTAATCCCAGCACTTTGGGAGGCCCAGGTAGGAGGGTCCTTACAAAAAAATTAAAAAATTAGCTGGGCGTGGTGGTGTAGACCTGCAGTCCTAGCTACTGGGGAGGGTGAGGAGGAAGGATTGCCTGGGCCCAGGAGGTCGAGGCTGTGATGAGCTGTGATCGTGCCACTTTCCTCAGCCTGGGTGACAGAGTGAGACTACGAGCCTCCCTCTCCCACACATAAAAATTGTATATGAAGTATTAGCCAGAAGTGTAGTGAGCACTCAATAAACATTAGGTATTTTTATCATTTATAATTTCATCTAACACCAACAAATTTGAAAAAAGACACTCAGGGCAATTCAGTGCACGTTTATTTGGAAATATAAATATGAACATATTTTCTAGAAAGCATTTGGCAATATGTATGAAGTCTTAAAATTTTTTTGGTGTATTTTTTTGATTCCATATAAAAGAATGTAACCCAAGAAGATAATCAAAAATATGGAAAAAGATTTATACGTATGGTAAAATTATTTATAATTGCAATAGTTGGATTCAACTTAATATTATACAGTAAGGGAATAGTTAGAAAAAGTCATGATACTGTAATAATGTAATTTATAATGTAATACTAAGTAGCTATTAATATAATGCTTATGAAGAGTTTTAATAACAAGGGGAAATGTTTGCTATAACTTCAAGTAAAAAAGCATTCAAGTCATAAACAGTATGATACAAATGATATGAAATAAGCATGGATAAAAGACCGTCAGTCATGGTTGGACTAGGGAAGCAGAACGACTGTGAAAGATGTGAGTCATATAGAATAAAGGATTAGACTTCAGGAAATTGTAGCAGCCCATTAAGATCTATGGGCAAGGCTGTTGCCTTTGTGCCTGGTGTGTTGGGTGAGTTGGACCATTCTGGGTCAGCTGGAAGGCAGTCAGGAGGAGTCCTGAAAGGGAGATTGGAAGAGCAAGGAAATATTGGAACCTGTGAGAAGAAACCTCAACACACGAGGACAAACACTTGTGCTGTCTGTGAATGTTAAAATTATGTGTAATCAGCATTTCTTTATACTTTCCACTGGGCATTATTTTTAGTATAGAAAAAAAATCAAAGCTTTTATTAAGTAGCAATATAATAAATAATGAATGAAGATTAGAGGCTAATTATGATGGCATTAACTTTGCAGTAACTAATGAAATCAGTATTAGAACTCTGGTCACTAAAGGAGAACTGTAACTGTAGCTCTCCTCATAGTCTTTGCAATGAAACTTTAAAAGCTAAATTCAATCTGTCAGGTTCTAAGATAAACCATGATTTTATATCTGGTACATTTTCCATTATCTGTAGTACTGGTAGTTAGACAAGCCTTAATTTATTTTGAATTCTAGAAGACATTATATTATTAAAATAAAATAATGTTTTAAAATTTTGAAATAATTTCAAGTTAGAGAAGAGTTGTAGAAACAGTTCAAAGACCTTTTTTTTTCTGAGTCATTTGAGAGAAAGTTGTTGCCTGATGCTCTGTAACTTCCAAATACTTTAGTGTAAGATTCCTATACATAAGAATATTCTTGGAGAAATGACTGAATTCAGGGCTGTGGCAGGAAAAGTACAAGATGAGAGTGGAAAATCTTGTGCCAAAAAACAAAGACTAGATTCTGAACATTTTTCTTTTACAGAGAACATGTTAAGCTTTATCAGCAAACTAGGCAAAGTGGGGACCAAAGGGATGCCCAGACTTTACCTGTATGATGACCACTCCTGAATTGTACCCACATCTTTAAAATAATTTTTAAAAAAACTTTATCAGATGCTGGAAGGGACAAGGCGCTGCAGGGAACTTGCTGAGGAAGGTGCTTTTTTTCT